GAATTTTGAATTATTTCTAGTAGAGGGCAAGCTTTCACAAACTACTAGTATTCTTGGAACAATTAGTTGGATTAAATGTTTTAATATTGCCTGTAGAAAGCAGGTTTCTTGAAATTATTCTTTCAAGCAGTTGGATTAAACTATTCATGTGGAAGACCCGACTTTGGAATCCATTCTTAGAACAAACAATTAGATTAAACTTTGAAATATTGCCTGTAAAAGACAAGCTTCTTGAAATCATTTTTAGAGGGCGTCTTTTCAGTCTGATTATATTGCTGCCAAAACTTCTGGTATTCTCTCATCGATTTTTGTTTTCAACACAATATATATAATATATAATTATAACCAACATGTTTTTATAAATGAAGCAGATTATGAAACCATAATTGGAGCCATTGACAATTTTATATCAATTCCCAAAGTTTGAAATACACATTCTGTATTTGTATTTCACTGGGTTTATGTATGGTACATTGTCTCTACTTTAATCATGGAATGTCAAATTTAATCTTTGTCACTTTGTACAAAATATACCTACTTATAATATTTCAATATTTTTTTTCTTTAACTTGGATCAACACCTATTGGTAGTCCATTTGATCCAAAGATTAACAAATTATATAAAAATGTTATGTTGCACCAACAGTTAGTGTTTTTATTTGATTTTTGATTTTGTGGAAAAATGATAGAATTGTCAGGCTTGAATCTGCTATATGTACAAATAATGGTACTCCATACAATTTATTGAGCCATGAGAGTCATCAGAATTGAACTGGTGATTTTTTTATGTGTGTAAGTTATACAGAAAATCATGTTGAATAAATGTACAAGTTTAACTGCCAAAATGTGATTTGAACAAAACAGATATTGTTAATAAAATGTTTTCATATATGAATTGCCTGCAATCAGTGTGTTTCCTTCTAAACCTCAACAAGTATATCAACTTAAGGGGTCTGGCTTACAGTATATGAACCTAGTCAAGAAACAGTTCGATTTTGGAGATTTATTTTTGATAAGAAAGATTCTTTCAGTGTCAATTTAGAACATATTATTCTTGATACCCTCCAGGAAAAAAGTAGCTACAGCGCTGCATTACTGTAAATGCATTAATTATTCACAAGGATTTAATTTCGCTGATGAGTAAAATCCGCTAAATTAAATCTTTGTGAACATGTAAAATAACAATAAAACTCACTGTCTCCTTGACAAATTCGTGAAATTAAATACATGTATGCTCAAAACATTGAAATAGTGAAATTAAACGTCAGTGAAAATAAATGCTTTTACAGTACTATTCTTGTACAGATTAATGTTCACTTTGTTAGGGTCAGTAAATTCGTGGCTTGAAATGCACATGATTACCAAACATGCATGTAAAAACCCAGTTTCATTTGAGCACACTAAATTCATTTAATTGTTATGCAAATTTTCTAATAAATATGCATGGTTTGTTTGGAAAAATAGTTCTGAATGTTATCATGTACTATAAATACTGAATGTACTCTAATCGATGTGAATATGTAATATATTTCAATGACTACTAACATAGACCATGTCATTTTTGAGTTAAAATCAAGTTTATATTTAATAATTGGGTCAAATTTACGATTTCTAACCATATATTTTGATTTTCCAACTAAATTTGTCAACTGTTCACCAACTTTCTAACTTTCTCACAACTTTGTAAACTTTCAGCCAAATGTTTTCACTTTCAAGCCCCCCTGCAATTTCCAAAAAAAAAACAAAAAAAAAAAAAAAACGTTGTCATCTTTCCCGGCAAGTTACAACTAACTTTTCTGATATTCCAACAAACATTTTTGACATTCGAATAAATATTGTAGTTCCGCTGTCGGGCAGAGCAATTCATACTTCTAATCTACTGTCGTCATCCCTATTGCAGTCGTTACAACCGGTGATCATATGGCCTCTCAAAAGGTACTTTGGGTGATTCTACCTGTCACACGCAACGTAATATTACCGTAATTGATATACTAGTAGTACAGGTGTGATGGTTCAAATACCAAAATGGCAACAGTAACAAAAAGACTTCCCTGGCGGCGATGATAAAATACGAACACGGAGCCAACAGATGAGATTTCAACTGGTACTGGTATTATTATACTCTGCAAACATCAAGTACAATAACGCGGTAGAACTCCACTACTCCAATAACTAGATACTTAAACTCCAATACAATTCAACGAGATCTCCGATCTGAACTCAGTGCTGAACAACTCCCCTATATATACCCACACTGTCTATAAATAGACCATTACATCAGCATACATAATGAATCTGGAACTTACTGCAAATTTCTAGAATGTTCCATTACCTTCTATTGCCTCTTACAGTGTTCTATTACCTATTCAACCAGTTTCTAAACAAAATCTAGAACATTCTCAGTCACACGGAAGTGGTAAACAAGTCGTATGCGACACTACCTCTACGTTAATTCTCTAATTTTAGTGAATATTTTGGTCCAATTTTAATTTTTGTTTTGGCTATGTACCTTGGGTGGACCAGATTTTTTTATTTTTTTATTATAACATAAATTTTCTAATAGGTGAATATTTTTACCATTTTAAAAATAACAATTTTCACTTTTACAGTTTTAAACATACAATACCCTGACTGGTATTAAGGTTGTATGCTGGGTAAAAGCTATTAATATGCAAATGTGGTACATTCAAAATAGGTGGAAATTACATTTCATGTAAGTGTGTATATGTTTTTAATTTTCAACACACTGTCTCAGCTGTTTAGCCTATTTATTAGCCTACTATCGTAAAATTCTAACAAACTTTTCCAACAAACTTTTTCAGTCAACTAGTCTGACTTTCAAGCACAAAATTTTGACTCTCTAACCAATTATTTTGACATTCCAATCAACATTTTTGACTTTCTATGCAACTTTCA